GCCTTAAAAGTAGACAGGGTGTCTGCCTCACGGACTAAAACTGGTAGTTGGTTCCACAGGAGAGGAGCCTGAGAACTGACCCCCATTCCAAGGGGGGGGACCCGTTCATCCGTTTCTATTTGCATGTTTTCTAAACTAAAACCAGGCTTTGTTGGGCTGCTGGATAAAACCTGGAACTAAACACTATTTCTGACATTTTGAATTGAAAAATCTTCCTGGATGGAAGAGAAACGTCTTTAAACTTGGAAACAAAGTCCAGTGGATTGATTTGAACTTTTTTGGGGAATTTTCTCCCGACCTTACTATTCGTGATCGATAGGTGGTCGTTAGAGGTTAATCGCCCCTCGTTAGCCCCTGAATACTAAACAGCAAGCAATGCGCGATCAGGCTGAAACTTTGCCCAATGGAAAAATGTCACATGGCTTGAGAACCGGCCCGAAAACTGCGAAAAATAAAATCGTACAGTGTATGCTTCACTTAATTCTGACATTTTGAATTGAAAAATCTTCTTAGATGGAAAGTGAAAAGTCTTCAAACTTGGAAACAAAGTCCAGTGGTTTGTTTTTTACTTTTTCCTGAATTTACGATTCCTGATCGGGAGGTGATCGTGAGAAGCTAATCGTCCCTCATTAGCCCCTGTATACTACACGACTCGCGATGAGGCTAAAACTTGGCCCAATCGAAAAATTCTCGCACGACAGGAAAATTGGCCTGAAAAGGAAAAAATAATAAATAAAAAATCATACAGTTTATGCCCGGCTTAATTCTGACGTTTGAATCGAAAAAGGTTCCTGGATGGAACGCGAAACATCTTTAAACTTGGAAACAAAGTCCAGTGGATTATTTTTTTTCTTTTTGGAATTTTCCTGACAATTCCTGATCGGGAGGTGGTCGTGAGAAGCTAATCATCCCTCGTTAGCACCTGTATTATACACAACGCACAACCAGCGATGAGGCTGAAACTCAGCCCGATGGAAAAACCCCCGCACGACTGGAGAATCGTCCCGAAAACGGCAAATAAATCGTACAGTGTATGCCCGGCTTAACACGCTGCCTTAGTGAGCATTGGTGCGATGCTAAAGCTGCAACTACTTGTTCTGATCACTAAACCTCTTAAAAAGGAAGTTCCCAGCAACCACCCTCTAACCTGGACCCTCTAAAACGGAGCACCACAGGGGCGTCTGTTCGGCCCCCTCGCCCGGCTAACTGAACCCCCTCAGATTTCACTAAAACAGGAGATCCAAACGATGCGAGGCCGACTAGAAATAACAGAAAAAATTGCTTCGTAGCAAACGTTTAAAACGCGATAAAAACTCCTCATTGACTTGAAAACTTCATATAGAAGGAACTTTTACACGGTTTCAATCTAAGGTGGGCCCAGCATTTTTAAATTGAAGTTTCAGTTTTATCAAATCCTCACAGCTGTATTGCAGCAGGATCCCTTGCACTGAATCACCTTCAGTGTTTCCAGTCTCTGGGTGCGGTCTAATACCTGGTTTCAGTGGGATGGCACGGTGAGGGGAGCGCTGGGTTTTGGCAGTGGTGTCCCGGCGCCGGGGGGACGTCTCCCTGGAAATGTGGCGGAGAAGACGGGCTCCTGCTGCCCAGTCGGGTTTCACCTGCTTTACTGGAGCTGTCCTGTTTCCAGGTGGGGGACCAGAAACACGATATCATCAGAAACAAAACTTTAAGACGACAGGAAGGTTCAGAATATGGAGGTAAGAAAAGAAGAATGACTTATGGTCTGAAATCAGAGCGGTTAAATAAAAAAACCCAGAGGTGACCCAGGGTTCAAACTAAAGTGAGCAGGAAATGAACATCGGATCATTTGATCGTCTTCAGGACTGGAGGTGATCCATCGGATCCAAACGGGGGGTGTATGTGAGAGGCTGTGATCTGTTAGCTAGAAAGAAAGGAAGGAACCTAGGATGGAAGGAAGTCAGGAAGGAACCTAGCAGGAAAAGAATAAAGGACTGAAGCAAGCAGGAAATGAAGGAAGGAAGCAATATAGGAGGAAAGGAAAGGAAGGATTGAATCGAGGAGGAAAGAAGGAACAAAATCTAGGAGGAAATGAAGAAAAGACTGAATCAAGGAGGAAAGGGAGGACTGGATCTCGTGGGGAGGGAAGGAACCTAGGAGGGAAGGAAGGAACCTAGGAGGGAAGCAAGGAAGGACATTTCCAAACAGTTTTTCAGAAATGACTTGTATGCAATTCTCTCCTTAAACCCAAAGGAATCTGTGATCTATAGCTCTATAGCTCCTTCATCCTGCCGGCTGAGTTTAATGAAACCAGTTTATAAAGTAACTCCAGGCCCATTTATATAAAAATAACTATTAAAACACTGCATCTTCCTGTAAAGCAGAAGCTCCATTAATCAGAGAATCTTTATTCTAAAATAACTCATAAAAGTTATTCATTATGGAAATAAGTAAACTGCTGTATAGAGCTCCGTCCACTAGATGGCAGCAAAGCCCTTTGGAACACAGAAAGAACCTCTCAGCATAACAGACAGCCTGGTTAGATAGAGAGTGACCATAGCAGCCTGTGCTGCTAGGAAGGAAACACACAGGAAGCAGACCTCCAGAACCATGAGGATACGAGAGTTCTAGCAGCAGAACTGATCCTCATCAGAGACCTTTCATTAGATCATCTACACCTTCGACTGAGAGGCTATACTACCTAGAACCTTAGCTAGGAAGGAAGGAATCTGGCAGGAAAGGAAGGAAACTAGGAGGATAGGAAGAGAGGAAGGAATCAAGGAGGAAAGGAAGGAGAAAAGGAAGGAAGGAATCTAGGAAGGAAGGAAGGAAGGAAGGAATCTGGCAGGAAAGGGAGGAAACTAGGGGGAAAGGAAGGAAGGAAGGAATCTAGGAGGAAAGGAAGGAAGGAATCTAGGAAGGAAGGAAGGAAGGAAGGAAGGAAGGAAGGAAGGAATCTAGGAGAAAAGGAAGGAAGGAAGGAATCAAGGAGGAAAGGAAGAAAGGAAGGAATCTAGGAGGAAAGGAAGGAAGGAAGGAATCTAGGAAGGAAGGAAGGAATCTAGGAGGAAAGGAAAGACTGAATCGAAGGGGAAAGGAAGGAAGGAATATAGGAGGGAAGGAAGGAAGGAATCTAGGAGGAAAGAAAGGAAGGAATCTAGGAGGAAAGAAAGGAAGGAAGGAATCTAGGAGGGAAGGAAGGAAGTAATCTAGGAGGAAAGGAAAGACTGAATCGAGGGGGAAAGGAAGGAAGGAATCTAGGAGGAAAGAAAGGAAGGAAGGAATCTAGGAGGAAAGGAAGGAAGGACTGAATCAAGCAGGAAAGGAAGGATCTGTGGCAATGCTCCTCTGTCCTCCTAGGACTCAGCAGGAACTGAGGGAACTTCCTGTTCCTCTCTGTTCCCCAACTTCCTGTTTGTTTCTCGATCTAATTAACCATTTAAACAACTGATGCATCATTATTGTGAATTATTGCGATAAATAAATTGAAATCAGGAATTAAAGACAAAGATTCCTGTTTCTGAGCGACTTTAGCTTTGCGTTAGCTTGTAGCAGTCGTACCTGTTTGGGGATTATATCCGGCAGCTGCAACCGTCCGTCAACCTTCTGCTGCGCCGCCGCCTCTGAATCCGAACCAGATGTGTTCTCTTCACTTCTCCTTCTCTTCTTCTTCTTCTTCTTTTTCTTCTTCTTCTTCTTCTTTTTTCCCGCCGAGCGCTCTCTGTGGGACCTGGACTTCCTGCCATGATCCTCCCCTGCGAACAGGTCAGAGGTCAGCGTGTTTCAGTCGTCATTGGCTACGTTTCCGTCCTCAAAACTCCTGACGATGTTAGCAACGTGTAATTTCAAATTTACAGCCTCATTCGAAAAGAAACACGGCTAAAATGACGCAGGAATGTTTTTTCGTACAACAGCTAGCTAAAAAACAGGCCGCCTCCCTTTAACTTCTTGTCGTCTTTTTCGGCTGAATTTTGAAGTATTTTAGTTTCTAGCTTATAGACGTTGCCATGGCTACTGATGCAACTATCGGACACTTTTCTACGCAGCATTCTGGGTCCGTTAGCAGCGCCGAACCGAGGGAAAGGATAACTACTGTTGGAGTGAGGGGCGGCCATCTTGAATGTGAAGACGGGGACTCTCTTGTTGGAGCGACTTTCCAATTTTTAGCGGCGTGGGACAAATGGAACACACTGTGACATCATATTGATGATCACCTGACGCGGGAAAAAAACTAAAACATTTCCATTGCAGTTTTTGCGAATTATAATACAGACCGAAAAAAAAAAAATCATCATCATTCTGGGCATGCTAGCAGTAACGAACCAACAAAACCTGATGGCCAAAGAGGGAAAGGCTAACTACTGTTAGCACGAGGAGTGGCCATCTTGAATGTGAAGTCGGGGCCATCTTGTCACATCAGCTTGGGATGAATGGAACACACCATGACATCAGATTGATGTTCACACAACACGCAATTTTTTCCCCCCGTGTCAAATCTGACAATTTCAATACGGACGGAAAAAAAAAAAAGGCATCGTAGCACGAAAAAACTTCTTCAGAGTTTCCCACGAATTGTCGCGTTTCCATTAAATCTATGTAGAATTCAAAGATCGATAGCTACGGCCAGTTTTAGTCCAGCCCAGTGACGTTAGCGCACTGCTTCGCTAGAAGTGGACTTTAACTCAAACAGCGCTGAAAGAAATTAATCGGATTAATCTACTGTTGAAATAATCGTAAACGAATTTAGTAATCGATTAATCGTTAAATGAAGTGCAGAGAGCCTAAAACATGCTATTAGCTGACAGAGGAACCCGCTTATAGCAGGAATTATACCAAACATTTTGAATTTTACAGAAAAAAAAAAAAAATAAATCTTAGTTCGTCAATATGCCCTACCTGGAAAAGTATCAGGCTATCCGACTTTTAATCGATTAATACACTGATAGTTAGCTGCAGCCCTGCACTTAAACACCTCCATTCCGTCGTTTTTCCGCTTATCTTTATAGACATATAGACTCCGCGTTTATAGAACATCCTGGAAGAACAAGCTTTGATTCCGATGCTGCCAAATATTCTACAAACAATTTGCATTTCTTCCTCTTTTTGACCTCCCAGTTCAACCAGTTCGGTCTATCCCCCAACTGATCAGGAGTAGAATATAATAACTGGTAGCTGCAGATTAAAGCAGCAGATTTAATCTGGATGAACCAGGAACTCTGACGGATCTAGATCAGACGGATGAATGTTCTAATTGCTCAGAAAACAGGCCCACAGCATGACAACCTGCCTGCCGTGCTCACAGGTGGACAGAGGAGCTTCTAAAACTCCCAGACAACCAATCAGAATCAGGATCATAACACAGAATCAGCTGCCATGAAGCTAAATAAAAGATTGGAACGTTTCTAATCCAGAATCATTCAGACTGATTCGTTTTCGTGTTTCAGTGCGTCGGAGGCGTGGAACGTTCCGGTGACAGACTCACCTTGGTCTGTGGTCTCTGCAGACGGATCTCCTTTCCTACAAGGAAACAAAGAGTAAAAGACAAAAATGAGATGTAATAAACCGACAGGATGACATCACTGAATGAGGAAGTGATCAGATGACATCACTGAATAGAATGGAATAAAACAGAATAGAATGGAAACGAATAGAACAGAATGGAATAGAACAGAATAGAACACAACATAATAGAATTTAACTGAATAGAACAGAATACAGCAGAATAGAATAAAACAGAATCGAACAGAATCAAATAGAATAGAACGGAATATAACCGAATAGAATATAACATAATGAAAAAAAATAGAACAGAACTGAATAAATTAGAATGAAATAGAATCTGACAGAATGGAATAGGATAGATTTAAATAGAACAGAATAGAACATGATCTAACAGAACAGAATAGAATGAAATAGAACAGATCGAATAGAAAGCAGGAAGACATTAGAGAACAAAACTCAATGAAAAAGGGTGAAATGAAAGCTGAGCTGTGATTGGTCAGCTCCATCAGGGGGAGGAATGAAAAGGCAGCCATGTTTGTTAGACCAGAGAGCTGCTCTGGTTACCATGGTAACCCCGCCTGGAGACTCTGTTTACCCTGGCCGCAGCTTCAGGTCCTCCTGCCTCTCTGCTGCGGACTCACAGCTGCTCTCCTCCTCCTCCTGGTTCCTCCTCTTCTTGCTCCTGTGTTTCTTCTGTCTCCTCCGCGGCTCCTGCTCCTGGTTTCTAGGAGAACTCTGCTTTGCCGCCTCCTCATGTGGACCTTCCCGGTCCGGTTCGGCGGCCTCGCTGCTGCAAACCGGACCAGAACATCACATGTTACCGTCTGAAGCTCCAGGAGCGTTTTAAAGGCAGCTACAGGGGGGCAGATTTCTGACAGTAGCTTAGTTTGTCCTTCCCCGCCCACCGTAGATCAACTAACGGCTTAAATCCCATCAGAATCTCTACATTCAGCATCAGATTTTATTTCCAGACGACTGAACACGCAGAGCTTTGAGCCTCCGCCGCTCCTGCAGCCCGCAGGGTTACCTACCAACACCCCGAACCCCGCTGGCTTCTACTCAGGCTGCAGGACAAACCGGAACCGGAAGGCAGAGAGCAGCACGCGCTCCCAGAACCCCTGAAACAAACAACCGCTCACGCACCTTCTCTCTTTCTTCTGCTCCTCGATCTCTCGGATCTTTTGGAGAATAAAATCCTGGAAAATTTGCTCTAAATTGGCCGCCATGTTTCGGTGTTCAATGAAAATAAAGGACCGGGTAGGAACATCGACCTGCTCGGGCGCGGAGGAAAGGTTCCGCTTATGGAACCGTTCTCTGGCCCCTGCTATAATAATAAATAAAATAAAACAATAACAATGATAATAATTATTATCATCATAAAACATGAAGCTTGTATTATACTACATTACTTTAATACAAAAACAGTTTATTTACAAGGTAACACTTAAAATATATAGTAATAATAATTTTAATTATAAATATTATAAATATATGTATTTTTTTATAATTTGTTTCCCTTTATTTTCTTGTCTCCTCCTCATCTGTCTAACAGCTCTGATAGTGACCATTGATTGTTTCTGTTTGTGTTGGAGTGGAAGAATAAGGAGAAATTTATGATAAATATGGAAAACTGTATTTTAAACACTGAATTGTTTTTAGTACAGAATTTTAAACACAGCTTTTTTCACACATTGAATTCCTCACACTGAATTTTTATGTGGTAAAAATTTGCCTGAAGAAAATTCATCTGCTACTGTATTGACCTTTTGATGAACTCGAGGCAAAGCAATGATGGCTGTGTTCGAATTCATGCTACCTAGACTGGATAATTTAAAGTCCTTGAAAATAAGGAGACCGGAAGAGTTTTGGCTGTGAATTCAAACAGGTCTACCCTTCAGCCGGTTGTACCGCCATATGCTCGGTTGCTGAGCAACCGCGAAAGTTGACACATAAAGCAGGAAAAGAATGAAAAC